CTGTAGCATCCGAAGAGATCAATGCAACAGCTGTATTCAACTAGGCTCAGTGGGCTAGACCTTTATTTATTAAAATGGATGGCGTTAGCATAGAAACTGTGTCCACATCACATAACTGCTGTATTGCTCTGAACTCAGGCCGAGAAAGGAGCCAAGTGGAACTGCCATCCAATATTATGGCAGCGGTACAAAATGCAGAGCCACTCTCACACCACGGAGCTAAAATGAAGCCAAAAGGAGAGATAATTAAAGAATTTATATGCACAGTCTTCCCACATCAACATATTGGATTATTTTCAGAATTGCTGGTATGCCCTAATTTGGCAAGATTTACAGAATTCCCCCACAACAATCTGAAAATTCTCTGTGCTATGGCAACATCTTTTGCTTTACCCAAAAGGAAGTAGGCTATGAATAATAATTTATATGTGAAATACTGTCAGAGGTCAGGTATAACCAGATAACCCAGGCAAAAAAATACCTCGTTGTGTTCATTTACTCAGTTAATAAGACGTAAATGGTAGGATTTTATTGGAATATACTTAAATTGGCACCTGTGATTGCCAAGTCTTCGCTTTGGACATATAGGCTTGTTAATAGTTTGAAAAATGGAGATAGAATTGAGTATTATCATCAAATTGAAGCTGTGAAGCACAGAAGGGAGTGTGAAGGGACTGTGATCTAAGAGATGCTGACCCAGAGGACTGTCTAGATAAGACTTCCTAGAAACAACAGTACATTGATATGGACCTCACGTTCTAGGATCTAATCTTCAGCTTCATAATCAAGGAAATCTGTGTAAGGGTCTCCAAATGTAACTAGATTCTCTGGGCTGTTTCATGCTAACCAAACCCACAAAAAGTAAATGCGTAAAGCAGAGTGCCGATAATCACAGGACCTTGTAAAGCTCAGGTGAGCTGATGAATACATTCTCTTCCTAAAGACATGCTACACAGATGTTTGCTTGGTCAGCTTGGAGCCAGAGCAAGGAGAGCTAATGGATCTCACTTGTCAGTTTTATCTGGCTTCGTATTCTTCTCTATGGATCAGATATTCATGTTCTTACGTTGGCGGACACTCTTCCTTTCATAGGAGAAAGCGAAGCAAATTCTTACCTATTGAACTGTTTTTTTAGAAATACCACGTAGGCTATCCTTTCTGTTAATGCAATCTTTGTTTGATATGGTTTAAGACAAATGATTCAGCAGAGCTAATACAGTTGTTCATTACCCTAGAGTATCCCTTGTACCTGGTTATCATCCATGATTATGTTGAAATGATCCACCAGGAGAACAATGCAGGAATTGATTGACTGATGTCTTGTAGTTAAAAATATGAACATAACCTAACTGAAGTTAACATGATTAAACAATAAAGAGACTAATAATGTCTTTATTAAAATACTTTACAGATTATTTAAATTTAAACAATTTTTTGATAAAAATTAACAATTATTTTGTAAATTCAGAAAAACAGAATCAGCATATATTATACAAAATGTCATCACCCAAAAATCACATTTTGGCACAATTATTCCTAGTCTTTTCTCTATATATTTTGTTTATATAGGTTAGAGCATATCATATATACAATTTTACATCCAGCTTTTGTCATATATAACATAAATGTCATTACACAAATAAATTCCTATGTTATCTAAAACTTCATATTTGAACGGATAAATGGAATGCCATCTTAAATCAGAGGTTGCAAGCTCAAATGGTATAAGGGGCCAGGTAGGTAACTAAAATATGTGAAATGTAAGGGTATAAGACATAGGGGGTAACTGAAAACATATATCCCACCAAAGGTATTCAAATTTAGTTTTATTTTTAAATATATGACAGCAAAATCAAGTGGAGAAAATAAGAAAGCCACAGAAGAATATGTGCAGTATAATACCATTTATATTGTTTTAAAACAGGTAAAACAATTCTGTGTTACACTTAGAGATACACTAGACATGCACATGTAATGAAAGTAGTTCTAAAAAGTAAAGCAGGGAATGCAAAACGCCAAATTCAGGACAGTGATTATGTCAGGTGGGAGGAAGTGATGTGAGCACAAGGTTATCAGAGCGAGATAAACAGAAGAGATTTTTAAGAGCGGGGTAATATTTAAAGTTGGGTAGTAAGCACCCAGGTGTTGACTGAAAAAAATGCACATCCTAAAAGTTGAGAATTGTTTCATTTGGCAGACTTTCTGAGGACTTCAAGCCCCAGAGGCAGCCTCTCAGATAGATAGCTCTGAGGGACTGCTCTGAAGAGGTAAGGGAGGAGCGAGGATACATAGGAGTTTTGCAATAAAGATCAGGTAGTCAGAACATCAAAAGATTATTGTTAATTAAAGAAAACCAGATATCTCAAGTTAGTGAATTTAGCACTTTTCTATGTATGGGAAGATGTAAGAGTCTGGGCTCACTGAAAACATTCCTTTGATATGCACCTTGGCTATCTAGGGCCAGTATCCTGTGCTTTCCCATCCTGAGGCTCCTCTGGGTGCACCAATAGGGGGCTGCAATGGCTAAAGACTTGGCAGTAGGCAGCTGGGTTGTCTCCACCCTGAGTTCCCTTAGGGCTCACTGTTCAGTGTGGCTGCAGTGACCTGATGGCCGTACCATCCTTTGTTTACTGATATGATAGGCAACGTTTTTCATTCACATGGGTATTGGTTGCATTTTACTTACACTGTCTTGTACATATTATTGCATATTTTAAAGGGGAAAAAACACCCAAACTGCCAGCTAAAGAAAACTTCCCTCTGGATTTGGCCACCAGCTGCTAGCTGGCTACCTTAGCACAAGTAGTATAGCATAGTCACCAAGAGTATGGGCTCTGAGGCCAGGCTGCCTGGTCAAACTTGAATCTCCACTCTACCACTAAACAGCTTTGTGCCCTTGGGCAGTTACTAAAATTCTCTGCAAACTAAGGCTCAAAGATCAAACCCAGCCCTTTGCCAATTTTTATAGAACCTTCCAGCTAAGAATGGATTGTACATTTTTAAGTGGTTAGAAGAACTGCCCTAGACCACTGTTATCGAACTGTAAATGGCTTTGGAAATTAGCTTTTGCTACAGGCTTGATAATGTTTCTCAATGAATTAAACGTAAAGCTGTAAAGCCAAACAGCATTTCTACACCATACCTATACTGTGGTAGACTCATTTCAACAACTAACCTTGTTTGAATCACATGCAATCTCAAGCTGGTTTATATACTTTACTATACTGTTAATAAGTTAAGAAGTAAGATCTCCATATCCAAACAAATTTGCAGTAGATATATTTTCTGAGTTCAGACTACTGTCCAACAGTCTTTTGGGACCTAGATCTAAGTGCAAAGAAAATGCCCGTATTTCAAAGTCCATTTAACTGTGCAGTTGAGGAGCTTCCACCTAAACTTCAATTGAAAGCAATTAATCTACAATGTAATGACATGCTTAAAGGCAAATATCAGAATTTAATAGAATTGTATAAATGCCTTCCAAGCAATGAATATGCTCAATTAAAACCATATGTTCATGGACCGATATCAGTATTTGGCAGTACCCATGAAAAGAAAATTTCAAAGGTATTTTCAAAGATAAAATACATAAAATTCATTAAAAATCAGCATTTTCAGATGAGCATTTGCTATTGATTTTGATGATAGGGAATACCAACTTTGAATTCCAGTTAAGCAAAAAGAATTCCATCTTCTCCTTAACAGTATTAGTGTTACTGAACCAAACTTGGGTCCACTCGCCTGTGCGCAGTAAAGCCAATCTACTGATGCTGGATTGTGGTGAAGAAAAGTGCAGCGTTTATCGTAAATGCGCTAACACAAGCAGGATGGTGGCTTGTGCTCTAAAACCCCAAACTCCCCAAAGGGTTTCAGCAAAGCATTTTTAAAGTCCAGGTGAGGGGGGCGGTGGTCACAGGGTATGTGGTCAGCTCATGCACAATGCTCTGATTGGTTTATGATATGGTAACAGGGCTGTGTCACAGGGGTTAACGTTATCAATCCTTAGGTTCCAGTAGGTCTGGGGCTCAGGATCATCAAGTAGTTAATTTCTTCCATTTGTTGGTGGTTTTAGCATCTGTAAAACAACTCAGGAAGTGTGCATCAGTTACTATTATCTAGGTACTTCAGAGAGGATCTAAAGCAGAGGATATAGGGGAGGAGTCTGTCCTGGGAAGGCCCCATAGGGTCCTCCCCGGTTACATTAGCATTACAAAAAATTGTATCAATTATTATATTTTGAAATTCATCAATACAAATTTTGCAGAAATTTTTCTTGTTACATAAATACCTACATAATAGCCTCAATTTTGCCTCTTGGATTACAAAGTCTAAAATATTTACTACCTGGCTTTTTATAGAAAGTTTGCCGATCCCTGTCATAGAATGACTGTGAGGATTAAATAAAATAATCCTTGTGGAAATAATCAGTAGCGACCTGGCATGTAGTAAGCACTCTGTTTTTTTTTCTTTTTTTTCCTTTACCTGTCATCTATTCTGGACACATAGTTTCCTTATTTTAAAAATTATAGGTAGGGGGGCTTCCCTGGTGGTGCAGTGGTTAAGAATCTGCCTGCCAGTGCAGGGGGACATGGGTTCGAGCCCTGGTCCAGGAAGATCCCACATGCCACGGAGCAACTAAGCCCGTGTGCCACAACTACTGAGCCTGTGCTCGAGAGCCCACGAGCCACAACTACTGAGCCCATGCGCCTAGAACCTGTGCTCCACAACAATAGATGCCACTGCAATGAGAAGACTGCATGGCAACGAAGAGTAGTCCCCTGCTCGTAGCAACTAGAGAAAGCCCACACGCAGCAACGAAGACCCAACGCAGCCAAAAATAAATAAATTTTAAAATTAATTAATTAAAAAAATTATAGGTAGGGAAAAAAATTAATACATTAAATATTTATGTGCATAAATATTTGTCCACATCTTGTATTAGGTTATGTTCCTAGAGGCAGGTTGATTTCAAATCAAAGCACACTTTTAAACAAAACTTATTACTTTTTTACTTATAAACTGAGGTGTTTATTTAATATAGTGAAAAATTAGAACAATACTAAATACTCAGCTCTTGGAGAATGGTTAAATAAATGGTATAGTTATAGGTCAGAATAATATTCACATTTGGCCTCCAATTAAAATACAGAAAGTGAAAAGAGTGTAGTTCTCAGTCTAACAAGATAAAACCAGGTAAGATACAAAGGCATGGCTTTTTTTTTTTAATTGAAGAAAGCTTAATTTATCTTATCACAATTACTCTTATTCCTGCACTTGCCTTCCTGGAATGTTCCATTTTGCGATTTTGATTCCAAGGAGAAATAGCCTATCTGTGAAGTTCATTCATTCATTTAACAGGCATTTATGAAATATCTACTCTTTGGGCACTTAATAGGTACGAATAAATACAAAGATAAATTTAGGCAAGTTGTCTGCCCTCCGACAATGTAGTAGGGGAGGTAAGAAATAGATTATACCTCTATCCCTGGAGTTAGGTGTGAAGCCTCACCCCAAATACATGAACAGAGGATGAGGCAGAAGGTTCCAAGGAAAGGAAAAACCAAGGTGCTCCTATAGATGAAGGATAACTAGTTGTTAGGTAGACAGAATACCAGAAGTCACCACACTTTACCAGTTCTGTGAGTCAATACAGTCCATTTTTTGCAACAGTAAAAACTTTAACCAATCTGGATGGATAAAAATTTAACTGGCAGAAAATGAGAAGGACAAGCAACTTAGTTAAAAGGTCTAGGATAGGCATAGACACAAAGGCAGAAAAGAGCAGCAGCCACCCGGGGGAATTAAGAACATGAAAGAAGGCTGGCAATATAGCTTGGTCAGATTACGGAAAGTCTTAAAAGTCTGTTTATAGAGTGTGCAGTTTTTAAAGCTGCACTGCTTCAGTTACTTTCAGGTCTCTGGGAAGATGAAGACAATTATTTTTCCCCTCTGATTCAGAAGAAGTGTATTTTGAAGTAGGGCTGCCTTCAGATATTCCAGTGAAATAAAAGCCAAGTAAACAATTATTTTTTTAACATTACACTATTAGCATACTTAATAACGGCACCTACCCGTATTCATCAGGGGAAGTTCCTAACGCCTTTCCTTAGTAACAAAGCCAGTCTTGGTCCTCAGTGGCTGGGAATCTGCAGCTGCACGCTTGCCTCCATCCTCCCACCCAATCACCAAGGACATAGACAGGTACCAGAAACCATGTGGAATAAAGATGGGGTTGAACTTTGTCAAATCATGAGTGAGGAAACCAACCCACTTGCATAACTCATAACAATCTGGAAACTTTATTAAATTCTGCCACACCATATAAAAATCCATTTCTAATACCTGACGTGGGGAGCCAATGGAGCTTCTTAGGTACGCAGCATTTTTAATTGTTTCTGTAGAACTGAGGCTCCTCAGGAAGATAGGTAGTATGCAAAACTTTTTAATTTATGGACAAATTTGTGAATCATTGGTTAAAATGAAGTTACACAGGTTTCCTTTTCTAAAGGAATTATCAGACCCTTTAACATGTTATTACACATTATGGCACCCTAAGAAGGTGATAAAACATGCATTTGTCAATTTTATCGACCTCGTCTTTTTTCCAAAGAGTATCTTGTATTTCTAGTAGAGGTTCTATGGAATATACTATGGGAAACACTGGAAGAGTTTATGGTACTGTAAAGTTATAGTTTAACTATGCGATCAGAGAGAGATGCTTTGGGCTTATTGATCTGGAGTTATATATATTTAGGATGCAGAGAGACAGAAGCAAACAAAACGGGATAGATGTCCAGGTAAATACAGTCCAGGTGATGAAAGTATATATGGAAACATAACATAAATACATTGTGAAGATAAAATGAGCAGGACTTTGCAATCGAATTGACACAGGCGATAAAGATAGGAAATAGGTGGTATGAAGTTGTAGATACTCAAACTTACACATTTGGTTGGCTAGGAAAATGAGAGTACTTTTCATGGAAATTAGGAAGATAAAAGCTGCACCTAAGTGGGATCTAGACAGGTTCATCAAAGGAATAAATGACACAATTTTGTTCGAAATACAGTTGAGCCTCACCATTAAGTCTACCTACTCTTCCCTCCCATAGGACTTTCCTCCTTTTCTTTTCTTCCTGCTGAGTTACCCCTCTTACAATTAGGCTTAGCACCAAATCTGGCTATTAAGGGAAAATCTCCTTGGCCTCCTTTTTTTCTATACCCCAAATGGGCATTCTTTTTAAGAGTTTTAGAGCTGATGAACAGAGGAAGTAAATATACTAATAGGACTTCCCTTTGACACATACTAGTCAGTTGCTTAGTATGATATAAAAAAAATGGCCAATTAGAACAAAAAGGAAGTTACCATGGCTTTTTAAAAACTTATGGAAGTATTAATTTGGGGGACTATTTTTTGTCTTAGAAAATTCATCTATTTTAGAATGACAACATGCTATACTTAAGCAGTGATATTAAATTAAAAGTAATTTTGTACACTAACATGGATTTTTAATAACATGGACTACTCTTGGGAAAACTTAGTTGTTTCATTTAAAGAGGTTTATGTTGGTCCTTGCTTCCACAATAGTCTTTGTGACTCTAGGCAGATGCTGTAACTTGGACACCAGTGCAGATGTTAAGAACAAGGAGAATTTAGACATCCATCGGCTCAGATTTAAAATTATGGCGCATCGGGACTTCCCTGGTGGCCCAGTGGTTAAGATCCCGTACTCTCACTGTAGGGGCCGAGGGCTCGATCCCAGTCCGGGGCACTAAGATCCCACATGCCGCGTGCTGCAGCCAAAAAAAATAAAATGATGGAGCATTAATGTGAACAAGGTTCTCCTCTTAACAAACAAATTTTTTTCATATCATTTTCTTTCTGGCACATATACACTGTTTATTATTCAATCAAAGCCCTACTCCTGATGACCCTATGTGAGAACAAACAGAAATCAAGTCACTCCCACTGGATCCTCTTCCTCTTGTGTGCTTTTGTGCACGTTTATGCCAAACTTTTGCTCCTTTGTTTACAAATCTCAGCCTTCTTTCCCTGAAGCTAAGGAATATGGCTTCAAAGATGTATTTAATGTTGTACCATCTCCTAGGGTGATATGATCCAACGTGGAGCCCTAGGGCAGCCCCTATTTATGCCTATTGCCTAAGCATAATTAATTGATAGCCCGCCTTCCCCTCTCAAGTGCCCTGGTTTACACAGTAAATATGGTCATCCTATGTATTGGATGTATACATCCTATACAAAAATGTATACCTCATTTTTCACTTCTCACCCCCCCAATTCTCCATTTTCAATTTTAATCAAGTTCATGATTTAAGGTATAGAATTAAAGGTTAAATGGGAAAGAACTGAAGAAGTCATTTATAACTTTTCATCTTATAAAATAAGAAGTCTTATTTCATACTTGACAGAATTTAGCCTCTACGTGAACTTTGGAGAGTTATTACCCTGTGAGGTGGTATTTTCCACCATCAGGCATCTCTAAGTTTTATGAAAATCCTTCTTACCGTCAGCCTTAATTTTATTATTCTTTCCCAATCTAAAATTCTTAGCATGTAGGTTTGGGATTCTTTCTCAACCACACCCAGCCTAAGGAATCCATATATTATGAATTAACTTCTTTTCAGATATCTATTGATAGAATAGCATTAGTTAGCTACTATCTTTGCGAGAATTGAGAAAAGTCACTCAAGTCATTTTTGGTGTTTCGTGATTCAAATGAGCAACCTGGGTTGAATGGCTACAAGGCTCTATCTAGCTGTATGACCTTGGAAAGTTTACTTCATCTCTTTGTGCCTTGGTTTCTTGGCAAAAAAATGAAAGCATAATACTTTTGTTATGGGCTGTTGTGAGAACTAGATGACATACATAAAGCTCCATAAGAGCAGAGACCGTATCTATCTTGTTCACCACTTTATTCTAACTGCCTAACATAGTTACTAGCAGGCACAGTTACTAGCAGGCACAGAGTAAGTGCTCAATAAATATCTGAATAAACAATGAATAATCGCCTCTAGCACATTGCCTTGCACATATTACGCATAGCTACTATCTTTTCAAACGATTTTCTTATGACCTGGTTTCCAGACCTCTCACTCTATTGATCACTCTTACAGAAGCTCTCTGGTTTGTCAATATTCTTAAAATGCAGTTCTCACAATTCAATTGTTTGGTGTGTGGTAATTTTGCTTATCTGAACGTAATTACAGACCCCAGTCCGCTGGGAAAAAGCTACACTGCCTGCTTACATAAAGAGTTGCCACTTACAAAACCTACTAGATTTCTCCCAATACCACCCTTTAAACCTTGGAGAATGTATGGTTAAGACAAAATTATGAGCAGATAAGGAGCGATCAGCCAGATAAGGGAAGAACCAGGATAGTGCAGTATTACGGAGAGCCATGGCAACGAAGGTTTATTTTCATCACTGCACCTAATGAACAGTCCAGTGTGGTGATTATTAGCCTCTCCATCTTGAGTACACTCCTTGATCTCCTTGATAGCAGGGCTATGTAAAGTTCATCCACAGTGCTTAGCACTGAGGAGATCTTCAAATACTATTTAATAGTGGAATGGCAAAAGACAAACGAGAAAGTTTAAGGAAGATGCTAGAGTGAACAGATGAGCAGCTTCCTAAGAGGAAACTGTAAGATGAAGGTTTCCAATTTTTGTATAGTTTGGGACAAGATTCAGATTAAGGAAGCTGGGATTGAATGTGAGCAATAAAGTGACAAATATAAGTGTAAAAATTCATTTGGAACTTTTGGCAAATAAAGAAATGTAAATTGGTTTAATAATTTGAGAGAGGAGCAAGGTTTAGGTTTTGCTTTTGTTGTTTTAGTAGAGACTGAAGTTTGTAGATATTCCTTAAGAAAAAGTGGAGGAGGGGAATGGAAGAAGTTTTAAGGACAAGATGATAGAAGTGTTGGGCCATAGGTGGGAGGATATGCCACAGTAATAAACCAACGGAAGTAAAGGCAGAGGGAATAATCTGAGGTAGAAGGGTAGGCATGTAAGGAAACTCGGAATTATAAGTCTCAAAGTAGGAGAATCTGCCAGGGAGGAGGTGTAAGACCTGTGGAAAGCAAGACAAATTTGGATCCATTGTTGGGAGGATAAAAGGATTACTGACCTCTGGGAAGGATGATCCCATCCTTTGTGACTACCTCAAAAAAAATCTCTGCTGCTCCTCCCTTCCGATCTGATCATCATGGCTGTTTAAAACCATCTGAATCAAGTAACTGTAAACATTTTACTTTGCGCTAGGCTAGAGTAACAGGACTACCACGCATTTTTATATTAAACTGAAAAGACGTCCTCTAAAAATAAGACTTCGGTTGCACCAAAAAAGTATTTTAGAGAAGCCTTGTTCACAAGCTGAGGGGCGGAGAAGAGGTATTCATTTTAAGCTGAAAGACGGGCTGCGCTAACACCTCCAAGTGCCACCAGACGCTGTTGCAGGACACTTCTTAGGAGGTCGAGTTTAACCGCACGGCCCGGGTAAGGTGAGAATCTGGCTTGGCGGCTTCGGCTCCGCGCCTCCTGCTCCCTTCCCTCTGTAAAGCGGGACGGGCTCCTGCCGCCACCAGGCGCCAGACGGCTCTCGGTCCGGAAGTTCAGCCGCACAGTGGACCGAAGAATAGGTTCTGGAAGAATCTCCTCGGGACTGGTAACGAGGAAGCTGTCTCCAGAGACCATCGCCAACGCTAAGGCCGACGAGCTGAGGTCGCCGTGGGAAGAGCGGTAGGCCACCAGGCCTCTTCGATCGCCGGCAGACAGGGACACATAGTTCAGGGCCATCTTCAAACACTGCCCGCAGTATTTGTGTTACGTCCCACGGCCAAGGCAGACTCTTCGCGGCTCCACTGATCAGTCCAGCCGGTCTCCAACACTGAGACCGACTTCATCGGAAGCCATCACCTGAGCGTCTGCAGATCAAAGACCCACTTTAACCCAGCGCTCTCCTCCTGAGCATGCGCAGTCCGTCAACGCACGTTGACGCCGCTGAGAGCCGACGTGATTGACGTTTACGTCTGTGACGCCTGGGAGCGCGAGGACGTGGGGTTTCTGAGAGTGCGCAGTGGGTGCGTCGGCGGTGACCCTTCGGCCTTTTTCGGGAGGGGGCGATGCTGAGATGGGGGCGGCGGCAGCGGAAGCGGATCGTACTCTCTTTGTGGGCAACCTTGAAACGAAAGTGACAGAGGAGCTCCTTTTCGAGCTTTTCCACCAGGTAAGCGGCTGGGATCAGCCTTTCCCTTTCGTTTTCCGGCCCGGGTAGGGCCCGGCCCAATGGCCATCCCCGCTTTCCTGGCTTAAGCGGCACGGTTCGTCCCGGCACCGGACAGGTGGGCGGGCTGGAGGTGGGGGTCGCGCTTAGAAAGGGAGGTGCTCGCTACGTGTCGCTTTATTAGAAGGATCCTGGTTAGTTCAGGCCGAAGTAACGACTAAAGGTGGTGGAGGGTCCTCTGTCGGGCATTCACGTGGTAAAGAGTCAGTGCTCTTAAGCGACCTCGTACGCGTGGGTCCTTCGTTGAGCTGTGCTTTTCCTCTTCCTGCTTTTCTCATCTTCCGCTTGTAAATTTTATTTCAATTTCTTTCTTAGTATCCGTTTTCCACTTAAGTTTCTTACGAAGTTGCAGCAAAGACAGACTCATAAATACTCTGTAGGAGAGCGGCACTGTAGTGTTTATGTATTAAAATCTGTATCAAGATGCGTTAAACCTGTTCCCTCCAGTTCTGTCTTTCAACAACTGGTAATGTTTGATTAGTCGATACAAAAGTGAATTTTTAGTCCAAGAAAACTACTGTCTCTTGATAAAGGTTAATTTCCACGCAGTGGGATAATGATGGTTGTTGGTGGCCTTGTTAAAGTCATAAAGTGCTGTGAAATGTAAATTCAGTCGGTGATTGGGTTTCCGGTTCCTTATGGGCTCCCTCCCTCCAAGTAAGTTAATCTAATTTTCGGTCATATCTATAGGATCTTTAACCGAGATGGAAATCCGAGTGTATCCATTTTTAAAATTAGAGTCCCTGGTTACATTTTTGAATTTTTTAAACTTTGTAAAATTTGATTATTTTCCTGAAACTGCCTTACTGAAATTCTGAAAACTTTTTTTGTCTGTAGGCTGGGCCAGTAATAAAAGTGAAAATTCCAAAAGATAAGGATGGTAAACCAAAGCAGTTTGCGTTTGTGAATTTCAAACATGAAGTATCTGTTCCTTATGCCATGAATCTACTTAACGGAATCAAACTTTTTGGAAGGCCCATCAAAATTCAGTTTAGATCAGGTAACTATTCACTGATGATGTTTAGGAGAGAGGTTGTTTGCCGCTTTGTTTTTAATTTTGTTATTTAAAGAACCTATTTTTGGATGAAAATGCTTTAAGCTTTATGAATAGTAAACTTTATATATCCCTGAAAATGGGTAACATTGACAGTATGGATTTTGAAAGCTGTAATTTTAAAATGAGAGTTAACATTTCAGTTTGGGTTTGTGAAAAGAACATAAACCTTATTATTAAAATGACTGAGTTTGGGTTCACACTCTAAAAGCACAAGGATTATTTCCTGAAAATACTTTTCCTGACTGCTTTGTAATTTACTTTTACAAATTTTGATGTGTGATCATGTAAGGATGAAACTTTCCTTGTAGTCATTCTTACAATTTAGTGTGGGGATCAGAATACTATGGCCAGATTGGGTATTTATACATTGGAAAGTACGTTATTTGGAACCCTTTGCTTTGGGTATATTTGGTATTAAACACTTAACAATTTTCACTCTGATGAACTATAAAGCAATTTACTGAAATTTGAGGTTTTCACTTTTAGCCTATGTCTACCTTTTTTGGAGTGATTGGGCTGAGGGATACAAAATTTCAAATTAAGTTTTTTATCAATAAGAATTTCTCAAATTGTTTCATTTCAGGAAGTAGCCATGCCTCACAGGAGGTCAGTTCGTCATATCCCCAGCATCATGTTGGAAGTTCAAGCCCTACTTCCACATCTCCTAGCAGGTAATATTTCTCACCTATTTTTAAAATCATTTATCAGGAATTTTTTTAGGCAGTGACTTCAAAATGCATAATGAGTGATTGGTTTCTTTCTTTATGCTCCTACCTCTTTATTCTTCTGCTATATTTGCTATGTTGGATTATAGTTACATATGTATCTATTTTAAGGGGACTATAGGCCCCTTATATATAGTTCCCTTAAAATAGATACGTACATAACTGTATTTATGTTCATTTGTAAAGACATACCCACACCCACATACATGTATATAACTGAGACGAAATTTCTCAAAACATTACTTAGCCTTACTACTTGTAGTATCCTCTATTTTCTATTTTATTTTATTTTTCAAAAAATCACATTAGTTTTATGACCACTAAATGGTTGTTGCTTGCAGTTTAAAAATACCTGTTAGTAAACAGACTACTGGACTAAGAGTTCATAGAATCGGATTCTGGATCTGTCTCTACCAATTGTGTAATCTTGAGCTAGTCTATGTCCCTGTCTTTCCATTTGTAAGGAAAAGAAGTTGATTTGAATGATCTCTGAAATACCTCTTAGCTACTGAGGATTGGAAGAGGTACCATATTTATATTTACTAATAATTTTCTTTGGGGAGGCTGATATTTTGCCAGGGACGGTTTCTTCCCGGTATGTCCATAGAGCTATTTATCAATTTATGGCTTCATTCAAGAAAGAGTTAACAAATACCTGTCACCTGTCGGGTTCTTCACCAAGTCCTTTGCACCTATGATCTCATTTATTCCTCACGGTAGATTTATGAGGCAAGGATTATTATTATCTCTACCTTATGTATGAAGAAAATGAAGGTTGGGGGTTAACTTGCTCAAGCGTGAACTGCTCATAAGCAGTGGGCTTGTTTTCAAACCCAGGCAATGTGATTGAGCACACCCACCATGATACGAGTAGAAAGTTTCTAGAAAGTTTTAACAAGGAGAGGTAAGTGAATGAGGACTTGAAAGAGGGCAGTGTACCTAGATCATAATGAATAGAAAATGGAGAGTAGTAGATGATACTGTTGAAGTAGATAGAGGCAGAAGATACAGGGTCTTTCTTATAGGTCATAATTAGGATTTTGGAATTTTACCCTAAGAACAGTAGGAAGACATTGAAACGTTTTCAGTAGGGTAGTAAGAGGAACAGGTTTGTATTTTAATGAGTTAGTTGGTTGTACTGGGAGAGAATGGATTGAAGGGGACAAGGGTGACTAGGAAGCTGTTGGTAGCAAGGTATTGGTGTTAGTAGCAAGGAAGCTATGGGAGTGAGGTTGCTGCTTTGGATTAGGGTGGTGCCAAGAGCTGGAGAGAAGTGGGCGGATATGAAAAGAGTTTGGAAGGTGAAAATTGTAAGACAGCAGTAATGTGAAAAGGGTACCCTCTTAGAGTCTTTTCTTGCCAGCTGAAGTTAATTGTGTTTAAATGCTTTTCAGTGTAGTTGGAATTCGAAGCATCTCTAACCACTTTTATGGACTCTTGAAAGGTATCTTAGGTGGAGGGAAAAAAAAGTTTTTAACCCTTCTTAGAAATTCTTGGGGAAAGAAATATGCAAGTAAATACTGTAGTTTTAATCAAACACTAGAGTGTACCTGATTTTTATACTCTCTGTAAGTAAAATTATACTTTTTACCCCCTTAGCATACAGGTACATAATCCAATTTGAGAAACCCAAATACGGCACTTCCCTGGCGGCCCAGTGGTTAAGACTCCGCACTTCTACTGCAGGGGGCACGGGTTTATTTTATATATATATTTTTATATACATATATATAAAGAATAAAAGTTCTTTTTAAAAAAAGTAGCTTTCTTTACAGCATACAAATAAAATCAGTTCTGCTTAAAAAAGAGAAGAAAACCCAAAATAAAAAGATCTAAACTGTAAAATAAATCTTGATGATTTGATTCTTGGTGATTTAATTCCAAATCTTGGTGATTTGATTCCAAAGGCATATTTTAAAATAAAATTAAAACCTTCCTGAGTTTTTCTGTAGAGCAAGTTACCTCTATAGGAAGTGATGAATAAGGTTTAAGTCCTTAAGATTAATATTCTTTTATATGTTACAGAACTCCTTACTCCCCCAAACCTATTATTCTTTCTTCTTATCTCAGTAGAGGTCTACCTAATTGCTCAAGCCAAAAATCTAGATTTTTATCTTTTAGTTCTTCTGGTTCCCTCACCTGTTATGTCTAATTGATCAAATCCTTTTCATTTTAGTTCTCAGTCTAGGCCTTTGCATTACTGGCCCAGGTATTGACAATTTTTTTTCTATAAATTGACACAATTTTTTTTTTCTATAAAGGACTAGTTTCTTCTGCCATTGTAGCACCACACAGATAATACCAAAACAAAAGAGCCTGGCTAAGTTCTAGTAAAACTTTGTTTACACAAACTGAGTTTGGCACACAGGCTATAGTTTGCTTCCCCCTGCACTAGTCCTTCCCTCAGCTGGAGTGTGTTGCCTCCAGGTAATCTTGTTCAGCTGTAACTTCAAATGTCTCCTTTTTAGAAAGGCCAGTCCTGACCAGTCAAGCTAAAATAGAACCGCCTCTCTCTCTCACCTCAACTTGCTCTTTAGTAATTTCTTACTATGTCTTTATAACCATGTGAAATTGTCTTGTCTGAATCCTTACCCCAGCTCCATGAGAACAGATACCTTGTTGGTCTTGTTCATTTCTGTCTTTGAAGACTGTGTCTTGCTCAGGATTGGTATGTAGTAAACATTTACTGAATGAATGATTATATGTTGGTTTTCTTACTTTTCACAGGTACGAAAGGACAGTGGATAACATGACTCCATCAACACCAATAATTCAAAGATCTTTTTCTTCTTCAGAAAATTTTCAGAGACAAGCAGTGGTAAGCTGATTGTTCAACTCGAGTTGCTAAAAAACTCGTGCTTAGTTAAAACATTCATTCTTAATTCTTAAGTTCATTTCTTAAATTTTAGTTAGACTAGCATGATCTTTGTAGATCACTCATTTTAGTTTTCACTGGGCTGAAATATATATTTAAAAGATTGAAGATAAAAAGAAGAACTGCTTGTCACATTTGTATTTTTCTTTAACCATTGTTGGTGTGATGTGTGTGTGTGTTGCAAATATTGGATACTCATTCTCTGATGTTCTTGCAACCTGTGCCGAGTAACTTCTCATCACGTACTGTCTTTAATACTTAATACGTTAATATACTACAGTCTTCTAGTCCACCTTCCTTGTGAACATGCCATTTTTTTCTGTAATAATATCACCAATGATAAAATCTTAAGTATCTTTTGCTGTTGCATCTTTGTCTTTGATCAGTCTCAGATCCTTCATTCTTTTCTTTTTCTTACGTTTGTTTCTTCCTTTTTATTTTCTTTGCCCAAATCACAATCTTGAATTGTGGTCCCTAGGCTTTTGTATTGCACAGGTCTGCAGAATAAAAATATAAGTGAAATAAAATAAAATTGAGAGACCAATATAAAGAGATATCAACTTTTATAAACATATTATATATTTTTCTTATTTTGCTGTAGACCATTAAAAAAAAATCATCATTAGCTAATGTCTGTCCACAGGCAGAATTTGGGAACCACTCGTCTAGTCACTTAGTACTTGTATCTATTTTCTTCTCACTAGTCCATCTCACACACCATTTCAAAATTACTACTATAACTCTGTTTTGCTTATCTTCCTGGTGATTTTTTTAATATAAATTTTGTATTTTATTTATTTATTTTTGGCTGCATTGGGTCTTCGTTGCTGCATGCAGGCTTTCTCTAGTTGCGGCTAGCGGGCTTCTCATTGCAGTGGCTTCTCTTGTTGTGGAGGACAGGCTCTAGAGTGAAGACTCAGTAGTTATGACGGTGCATGGGCTCAGTTGGTCCGCAGCATGTGGGATCTTCCCGGACCAGGGCTCGAACCTGTGTCCCCTGCATTGGAAGGCGGATTCTTAACCACTGCGCCACCAGGGAAGCCCTAGCCTTGTGTTTTTGCTCCCATTATCTGATTCCAATAAACCTTTCTAGCTTTACCGTCCATTAGTCATGGCTCATGAGATCTATAACCTGTCTTAGCCAGAATTACTTGCTATTCTATGAACTATTCTGTGTTTCCCTGTTATTTTTGTTTGTGCAGTCTTCTTTCCTTGACATACCTCCCCCTTAAAATATTTTCCTTAAAAAAACTCCATCCAGGGAATTCCCTGGTGGTCCAGTAGTTAGGACTACACGCTTTCACTGCTGAGGGTGTGAGTTCGATCCCTGGTTGGGGAACTAAGATCCTGCAAGCTGTGTGGCATGGCCAAAAAAAAAAAATTACATCCATACTTTTAATACTCAGATCATATGTCGCCTTCATTAAATCCTTCCTAAAGATACTGAGCTTTTGCTTTTAATGTGTTCATCATACAGTGATTTACATTATAGTCATTTTGTATTACTTCTTCCCTTCTAAATTATATTCTGGAGGACAAAGAGTAGTAGTACAGATATTTGTAGGTATACATTGGAATGAATGAAGCTATTGTACTACTTTAGTTGTGTTTACCTTAAGATTCAGCTAGGCAAGAATGATTTTGCTTTTCCATTATTGTGTTCGTTTGACCATGGCTTGATATCTGTTGCCTTTGCTATCTAGAAATATTTGTGGTTAACACATTTCCTTCTTTTTCTCTTCGCTCAGATGAACAGTGTCTTGAGACAGATGTCATATGGAGGGAAATTTGGTTCTCCACATCTGGATCAATCAGGATTTTCCCCATCAGTTCAGTCACATAATCACACTTTTAACCGGTCTTCAACCTCCCAGTGGCGCCAAGATACACCATTATCACAGCGAAAAGTCAGACAGAATTCTCATACCTATGCAGTGGATAGACATTATAGCCGTGAACAGCGTTACACTGATCATGGGTCCGACCATCATTACAGAGGAAGCAGAGATGATTTCTTCTATGAAGAGAGAAATCCCGATGGCTGGAGCCATGACTATGATAACAGAAGAGACAGTGGTAGAGATGGAAAATGGCGCTCATCTCGACACTAACAAGTGTTAAAAGGATGTTTTCATAGTGTCATTCTAGGCCCTTTTTGTTAAGTTGTTTCTGGGAATGTTTTCTTTAAAAAAGTCTATAGAGCAGCTTTACAAGTTGGCACATTTCTTTATAAAATTTTTAAAACCTAATTGCAGTCCAATACAGAAATGAGAATTGTGGTTCTAGTTTTATTACATTAATAACCTTTCACCTCAGGGTTTTAAGAAGAGGAAAGGGTTTTATGCTAAAGAAAGTGCACAATTCCTAATCATTTTAGACAATTGAGGAAGGGATGTATTATTTGGATTAGTTGTATTATGAAGCAAATATTTTAATTATCTGTTACCTTTTTGTATTACAAGAAATTTCTTGTTAGGGAATCAGATTTTTGGTGTATATAATGGAAAACATTCAAGTTGATAGTCTGAAATGACTCAGTATTTTGTTACTAAACGAGAAAATGTAAATTCCGTGATTCATTTTACTAATATTTGAGAAAACCTTTTGGTCAAGTTTGGGGATAAATCATATTATTTAACTTAGAGAACTTAAGTGTAAGTTCTGTGACATGATCTTGAGTTTTACTGTAAGTGAGCATACAAGTATACATCTACACATGCTATTTCATTGTAAAATTTTAGAATTTGCTCATTAAAACATGTTCGATGGGCTTCCCTGGTGGCGCAGTGGTTGAGAGTCCGCCTGCCGATGCAGGGGACAGGGGTTCGTGCCCCGGTCTGGGAAGATCCCACATGCCGCAGAGCGGCTGGGCCCGTGAGCTATGGCCGCTGAGCCTGCGCGTCCAGAGCCTGTGCTCTGCAACAGGAGAGGCAGCAACAGTGAGAGGCCCGCATACCACAAAAAAAAAAAAAAAAAAAAACATGTTCGATGTATGACTGAAGTCACTCAGGAAGTTAAATATCTCTAAATGTATTTTTTTTACAGTAAAAATACAGTGTTAATGTAAATCTTTTTCTGGAAGAACAAAAATGTAAATGCATAGTCAGATAAAATAGTAAAATGTTTTACTGAAAGTATTCTTTTTTGGGAAAAAAGGTTCATGAAACCTTTAAGTGATGCCTCTTATCACTCAAATTTCTAAACTTTTAACATTTTCAAAGTGCAAGGACACATTTTATTATGGAGATTGTACAGGGTTCTTTTTTGTTTGAACATTTGAAAGAATTTAGTCTAAAACACTTTGATTTAAAATTTTTAAAATCTTGTTTAACAAAACTTTTATGTATCAATATGCCGTTTCCCTTTCATTGTAGAACTTGTTTATAAAAATTAATTCCTTGAAAAATTTGGATTCTTTTTAATATTAACTACAACATTTGTACTATGTTGCTTTTTAATATATTGAAAACAAAAAGGAGGGGTGTGTCTTTTTTTTTGACATCACTAATATTGTACACAAAAAGCTAGCAGCATACTTTTATTCAGTGATTGCGTGGTGTTAGAGTATCCTGAAATATACCTTTTGAACATATCAAACTTATATTTTAGAATCAGATTTTCAGTAACACATGGTTTATGTTTCTGAGCACTGTAAACTAATTTAGTTACTCTCCCTAGTCTCTAGGAGTTTGTACATTTGGTTTTCTCTGTTTCTAAATGCATGCAGCTTTTCTGAGTCCAGGTAAATGGAGCTAGCTATCCAATTACTCAGCACAGAGCGTTCAAATCAAGTTTCTGTTTGCTTAAGCAGTTTCATAGTAGAAGGATTTGTTTCCAACGAGCCTGTTATTTTCAGGTGTCTGACCTATATGAAAATTTACTCAGTAGCGTTTGTAGATATTAACAAAGATTAATACTGCTTTATTGCAACTTATCTGTGGCTCAGATCTGTTCCTGTTGATTCACAGGTGACCCTGGTCCAGAATAATTGTTTTCTTTTTTAATGGTTTTTGGGACACCCCTTCTGAGGTTCCAGTGAATCTTTCACTTCACCCTCATCCAGTTGAAAGTAACCAGACTAAGTATATGTACTGTGTAAAGAGATAGAACAAGACAGCCACAAAGAATTGAATATAGCTGGTGAGACAATTCACCGAGGTATTGAGAGCTGCAGGAGTAGAAAGGAAGAGATTGTTTTTATGGAAAGCAGTTTCTCCCAGAGTGTGTTCCATGAAACAGTACTCTCACAAGGTGTTCTGCAAAAATAACAGGGTTCTGTAGTCAAATGTATGGTAAACGTTATGTACTATCTAACACCGTGACTCTCTCTTAATGAGAAGATGCCATAAAGCTGACAAGTGCTGCAGTAATGTTTATACCTAACAGTATTTTTTGAACTTACTTGACCCTTTCTTTACCCTTTTATACATAATACATTAAGATCCCCCCAAAGAATCTCTGACTCCACCCTTCTCCATCTAGTCAATCATCAGAAAATTTTATACCACTTTCTGATTACGTTGTGTAGGCCCATCTTATCTGTATCCACGGCCACCATCCTAGAATGGGCAATCACCATTGCAACAGGGTTATTCCAACAGCACCCTAATGTTTGCGTGCTAATTTATGTATTCCTATAGTATTCCCTGTATTTCTCTTACAGCCTTTTTATTGTATTAAAATTTTATTTTTATTTGTATCTCTCTAGATGTCTCCATGAAGTCCAGGACCTCATTTTTTCACCACTGAATTCCTAGTATTCAGTGCCTGGCATATATATAATACATGGTAAATTTTTGCTGAATAAATGAAGGAACGTTTGTCAAATAATTGAAAAAAGGAGGCTTCAACACTGAAAACTTCTTTGGTATAGATTTCCGAACCCTGAACCATCATTGCATCCTATTATAAAAATTGTATCACAACATACTGTGCCTCTAATACACTCTAGAATTCTATTTGTTTTTCAAGTTGTTAAGAAGTTACTGGATCTGTATTCATTAAGGTTTTCTTAAAATAATTGTTTACCTTAGTTGGGTTTTGGAATTGTGGTTCTGTTAGTTTTGTAGAATGAATTTATATCTTTTTTTGTTTTTTTTGTTACAAAGGCATTTAGTTTATTCTCATCAGTATCACTGATATTCTCATGGTTCACATTTCCCAGGGCGGCTCCTCTTCTTACAGTAGTTAATGTTTAATCTCACTTATGGGCCGGAGGAGGGGCTGGGCCCAGGGCAGGGAGGGTGTTGGCACTCCCCGCGGACGAGGCGGGTGATCTGTGCTTCGTGAAAGAGACATGGGTGAATGGGCGGCTGGGGGACGTGGAGGGGGGCCCCCAGAGTCTTTTTTGCGTTGGTCAGTGATTCTCCATTCATGTTCCATCCTGGCTGCCCCGGGGGGTGGGGGGGTTGTGGGGTCCATGCAGCTCAGGGCAGGGCAGGGCCAGGGGAAGGGAAAGCAGGAAAAGCAGCAGGCCGCCCAAGAGCGGGGAGGGCAGGGCGGGAGGGCGCAGGGGCGGCTCCTGGGGTAAGGCACAACCCTGTCTTTGGCTCTCCTGGTGAGGAGTTTCCTCCCCTGCGCCCCTGCCCCGCCCCTCGCCCCCGCCCCCTCCCCAGACCTATACACACAGTCCAGGGAGCCAGGGGCACCTCCTGGAGTCCCTGAAACAAGAGCGCTCTGCCACCCAACCCCGTGCTGCAGGGGCTCGGAGGAGGGACGGGGCAAGCCCCACCCGAGGACAAGGCCAGGAGGGGCTGGACAGGGGCCTGCCCAGGACAAGGGGGTGGGCAGGGAGAAGAGCCCAGTCCCACACAGCTGGCCCCCGCTGAGGCCTGGAAGGAGGGGAGCGCCCGGGGACTCCTGCTTCCTTTGGGGTCTGGCTGGAGCCCCAGCCCACCCCTCGGCCTTGGTCGGCCCGGCAGCTTGCCAAGTGCCAGGATGTTGTGCTTTGGGATCTACGCTGGGGTGGGGTGTCAAGGCCAGGATGAGGGGGCAGGGGAGGTGCGACTAAGGTGCTCGTGCTTTAGCTGGGGCTGTCGACCCCCACCCCCCCGCCCCACGCACTCGGGCCGGCTGAGGGCTAAGGTACTGGGGCTGGGCCAGGAAAGCAGAGCGCCAGGGCCCCGCTGGACTGACCCTGCCCCTCGCAGCAAGCAGATGTCAGGAAGGACCCGCTCCCCGCAGGCTGGCAGGGGCTCCTGGGGGGGGGGCGCAGGCCTCCAGGTCAGATCCCAGTGGTCCAGCTGGCCCCCACCCCACCTCCTGTAATCCCCTTGCCTTTGGAGAGAGAGAGGCTGCTGGGAGCAATGGGCTAGTCAGACTGCTCGGAGACAGAGGCCTTGAGAACCGGGGCTGGAGACAAAAATGTGAACTGCGAAGAAATGACATCCAGCGTGTGTGGGGAGGGGTGCGGGGGGGGGCGGTTAAAAAACAAAAAGAACCCTCCAAGTTTACACGTAGAACTCAAAAAATCCACAAAACCACTCACGGAGCTAGGCAAGGATAGAAAGAGATGAATGGTAAAAGAAGATTCGGCAAACGATCTGTAACCATGAAGCGGACCCGGCCCTGCCAGGAGCTGGACTCAGCCAACCGGACCTTGCAATGTAGCCCTTCGGGGGAGGCCCTGGGGTTGAGTGGAAGCCGGCCAGACCCACGGGAGGCCAGGCAGAGCGGGGCCTGGGGGGCCCCCCTCGTCAACGCGCGCCCCCACTCCACACACACGCGCACATTCAGCCTGCCCCCGGCTCCCCACTCCGTCCTGCCTTCCACAGCCCCGAGGACCGAAGGGGACATCAGACACGGTCCCGTTGGTTTGAAAAATAATAGGAATCTTATACTTCAATATTTCATTAGCTGAAAACATGTTTTAAAAAGTATGTACAGGGGCTGAGGGCTGGGAGCCCTGCCTTGGGGGGTCGGGGGTGGGATGGGGAAGGGAGGGAAAGGCAGCAGCTCCCCAGCCTGCTCCCCTGGGTTCCACCCCTGGTCCTACTGCCTCTCACGTCTTCATCTGTTTAAAAGGAAAACTTCTACACACGCACGCCCGCACACACACACACACACGCACACCCACACGCTTCTACGAGCCCCGGAAACCTCTCCTTCTATCCTCAGAGACCCTCAGTCTGCCCCCAAGGGCCCCCCTCTCAGGACCTGCCCCTCTCAGGCCCCAGGGGGCTGGTGGCGGCAAGAGAGGCTGAGCACAGGTGGGGGAAGAGAAGGGCGCTGGGCCTGCCACCGCCCGCCACCTTAGGTCGGTCATGGAGTTTCTCTGAGCCCCCGTTTCCTCAGCTGTAAAACGGGCAGTCCTCATGGCCGCGCCTACCCCAGCCCCCAGGCGCAGGGCCAGACGAGGGAGGCAGGAAGGTGCTTTTGGAACGTGGAAGCACTGGGAGGTGGTGGCGGGAGGGGTCCTGAGAACCCGGGGCCCCTGTGAGTCCCAAGGGGCTGCAGGGGGGCAGAGGCTGAGGAATGCTCCGGCTAGGTGGCCCAGCGCCTGGGAAGGGGGTCTTCCCAAGCCCCCCAGGC